GCCTCCCTGGTATACTTTTTATTATTGTATTTTATTTTTTAGGACCAACCGGACATTGGCGTGATGGAATATTTTATAGCCTCTGAATGGCTTTTTACAAGAAATTTGTAATAACATGGGGAAACAGGGGCACCTGGGTGGCTCAGTCAGTTAAGCACCTGCCTTTGGCTCAGGTCATGATCCCAGGGTCCCAGCATCTGGCTCCCTGCTCAGCAGGAAGTCTGCTTCTCCCTTTCCCTCTGTGCTCCACCCCCCACCCCCTGGCTTGTGCTCTCTCTCAAATAAATAAATAGAATTAAAAAAAAAAAAAAAGAAAACATGGGGAAACAGCCCTGTATTTATGTCAATTGAAAAATGCCCATCACATACACCTGAAACTAACAGAACACGGTTATGTTAATTATGCTTCAATTAAAAAAAAATGCACATCATAAAACTGTGGGTAGGGTAGACTCTCAACCTTGTAAACTAAAAAGGGGGGAAAAGCTGGTAACGGTGGTGGGCTTTGGGTGGAGGGAATCCTTGCGATTTTTCTCTGCTCTTTTACTGCATTTTTCTACCATCAATGTATGTGTTACTTAACCAACAAAAGAAATTTAAACCCAAACCCGTTTCTGTTAAGATGATTGCTCGGATGTTGTGTTTCTGTTCAAAACACAAAAAAATGATTGTTTGGATGTGGTCGCAGGCTGGGGCTGGGAGTGACATCACCATGGAGATATCAGCTGAGGCCATCACTCTGAAGGCCACACCCTTCCCTGCAAACACGTGGACTTTGCCTTCCCTCCCAGATCGGATCAGATCGGGAGGATGGAGGGTGGGGAAGATCGTGGCACCTCCCTCCGGGGTGATACAGCCCACAGGGTAATGAGCCCCAGCAGTGAAGGAAGGGCTCTGTTACTGCTTCTCTCTGTCGGGGGTTTTCAAGGTCCTGGGGGCTTTGTCCAAGTGGCTCCCCGGTTTCCTAAAGGTCAGATGGTAAACTGAGGCTGACCAAGTGAACCGAAAGCTGGCGTTGCTGAGTACTTATTACAGGGTAGGTTTCAAGCTAAGAACTGTGTATGGGTTGCAGAAATAAATGAAGACCACTTAGATGAGAAGATGCAAAGGGAGTCTATCCAGACCTGGCTATAGAACAAGGGAGTCAGACACATCGCTTGCGTTTTGCAGAGACTCCAGGCTGGCCAGGGATCGGGCGAGCCTCCAAGGGGGCCAAAGGGAAGGTGCTGGACTGGACAGCAGGCTGCAGACCGTGGGTCTGCTCTTTTTTATATGTGGTCTGGCCCTTGTGTTTCAGAGAGGAGAGAACCGAATCACGGAGAGGTTAAGGGACATGCCCAAGGTCACACAGCCCATGAGGGCAAGGTGCTGGGCATAGAGAGAGCAGAGAGATGCCCCCTTGAACTCCAATCTGAGCTCCGCCCCGTTCCAGCTTTGTGACTCAGAGCAGGTAACATTGGGAAACCCGCTCCCTCCGCAGGACGACCGCCAGAGCCACCGAGAGGAGCCTCTGCGTGCAGCGTGCCAGGTCCCACATGCACCTGTTGAGCGCCTACTGTATGCTGCATGTATTCTTTACTGTATGCCAGGCATGGTTCTGAGCAACAGAGAGTCTATAAACTCACACGATCCTCAGGATGCCCCGTTTACAGGTGAGGGTCGGACACACGTTCACAGGGCAGGTAGGGAGTGGGGAACCCAGCCTCCCCCTCCCCCGGGTAGTCCCTTGGTTTCCAACCTTCACAGCTGCTAGTTCTCATTCCTCTCTCCCTGTCCCCAAGTTTGCACATCTGTGCATTGCGTCACTCGGGCCGGAGTGGAGACACACCCTGGGGAGCGTGTTTATTCTGTGTGTCTGCGAGCCTCTTCCCCGGGGAGACCGCCAGCGTCTTTCTCCCCAGGACACTGCCTACTGGCCTTTCCTCCCCCAGGGCTGCCCACCCCCTTCCAGGTGGCCCGGGTGCACGCGAACATCTCTTTGGGGCCTTGGAGTCCTTCAGAGAAGTCACACCCATCACCCCCCACCAAAAACACACAAGTAGAGACCCGCAGAAAGGTTCCCAGTCTGTTATTTTACCAGGAAAAGTCACTGGAAAAACAACTCCGCCCGCACCATTTCCTACCAGAAGGGATCTTTTGGCACCAGGAATAGGTAAGGGCATCCTTCGGAACCAAGGACAGTCCTTTAAATTGAGCACGTCTAGCTTTCTGGAAAGCTCTTGTTTTGCTCACTTTGCCGTGGAGGGAGGAACACTTGGTCGAAGTTGGCAGCTGTTCCTGGAGCATTTGGGACCGGTGTCCTGCCAAGGCTCTCTCTGGCTTCGAGGCCCAGGGTGGTGACTTTCCTGGTCCCCGCCTCCCCCCCCCCCCCATCCTGGTGTCCTAAGCCACCTTAGTTTCCTAACTGAATGATACTGCCCAGTCTGGCTTTTCTTGGACCAGCTCAAGCATCCTTCCATCCCCCACTGCCTGCTGGGGCCCTCAGAGCCTTGGATGTCATTACCCCCCAGGATCTGTGAGCCAGATGTTTGGGGAGAGGTGAGGAGGCCATTTGTCCAACCCCTGTTGCTTTTCAGCGGCAAAGATAAAGTGCCATGAGGCCAAGAACCATCAGGAAAGCTCCCAGCCCTCTTAAATATAACAGCAGCCTCTTCCTCTACAGCTAGAGCTCATATTCAAACTGCTGTTGTCCCAGCCGCAAAACCCCTTTTACTGCCTTAAAGCCTTCAACCCCTTTTCTGCCCGGTGTGTGGCTACAGAATTGCTTTGCAAAGGCATAAGCAGGTGTCCACAGTATAAAGCAAGAACGGCTCTGATGGAGGTATGGGCAGGGTGGTTTGGGGCCCGTCTAATGCTCAATGGCCGCTTCCTGGAGGGGGTGACAGCCCGGATGTGTCTTGAAGGATAAGTGTGTGGCAGGCAGAGGGGGCAGCCCGAAGGGCACTTTGGGAGGAATCTCGAGCTCAGGCGGCAGGAACACAGGGAACCAGGGCCTTACTTAGATGAGGGCTGAGGGGTGGCTGGCCTGGTCAGCAAGGGCCTCACATGGCAGGGCTGCAGAGTGGACTTTTTCTTTTCTTTTCTTTTCTTTTTTAAGATTTTATTTATTTATTTGATGGGGTGGGGGGAGAGCGCGAGCAGCAGGGAGGGGCAGGGGGAGAAGTAGACTCCCCGCCGAGCGGGGAGCCCAATGTGGGGCTCGATCCCTGGACTCCAGGATCATGACCTGAGCTGAAGGCAGACGCTTCACCTACTGAGCCACCCAGGCGCCCTGAGGTGGGCTTTTTTCTAAGGACAACAGGGAGCCCTGCAGGGTTCTAAGCAGGGGAGGGACATGAATTTTAAACCTAAAGCCTGGCTCCCTAGGCCATGTGGGGCCAGCGCAGTGACAGGTGGACAGGCAGGAGGAACAGGGGCATCAGGACAAGGGGCTGGGGCAGTGGCTGGGTGGACAGAGAGGCATGGCCACTCAGCTGTTCGGGGCCTCAACCCCTGGCCGGGACTGGGCTGAGAAAGCACATCATTGAGGACGGGACCCCCCCCCCCAACTCTGGGCTCCCTGCTCCTCCCAGCCAGGGGAGACACCCTAGCCCCCCATGCCTCTGAGCAGGGGAGGGTTTTCTCCCTGCAGTTGGGGCGCAGGGTGGGCCCCCGCCGCCTGCCTAAGAAAGCTCCCAGGGGCCTGGGCAGTCATGAGCCCAGCCTGGCAGACAGGGACAAGGCCACACTTGTTTTTGCAGGCCTGCTGCCCCACCATGACAATCTGCATCCTCCCCAGCTCTTGAAGGGATGCTGTGTTAGAATCCCACTCTCGACAGACCGAGCTCCCTGTGGCCCTCAGGACCGGAGGCTGGACCCAAAGAAAAGTGGTGCTCCAAACAGGGATGCTTCCGGGGGGTCCCGACCAGGGTGATCAGGGTGGGGAGCACCTGGCCAGGTATCCCCAATACAACCTTCACTTTGAGAGGCAGCCCTGGGGCGGGGTATGCGATGGAGGACAGAGGCACAGGCCTGGGAGTCTGAAGGACCCGAGGGACCTCGACCTGCTGGCAGCTCACCAGCTGCACGACCCTGGATGAGAGACGAATGGGCCAGCCTCAGTCTCCTGGTCTGCAAAATGGGAATGACTGGCTCTTCCTCCCCGCAGACAGACAGACTCAGTCCAAAGCCGTGAGCACTCTGCTGGAGACACGGCCCGGGTGCTCGGGGCTGACTCTCCACCGTGGGGCTAAGTAAGGGGGAACAGGCGCCAGGGAGGGCCTTGGGGCTGTCGCTCAGCAGAGCGTCTTCACTCCTGTTCTTTCACGTTGGTGGGGCGAGGAGGGGCAGGAGCAGAGATGGGGGCTGAAATGGTCAGCTCTGAGCAAGGAGGCGGCAAAGGAGAGGGGGAGGGGCCAAAACAAGCCTCCTCCTCTTTGGCAGGAGGGAGGGTGTCTGTGAATGTCATCAGCAAGCTGCTTCCTCTCCTCCCCCAGCCTGCAGAGCTCGAAGCAGCCTCTGCATAAAACTTCCATGGGGCTCCGTGCAAGACACGAAACCGCCCCGACTCAGTTTCCCTGTCATGGCACTGCGTCTCCTTTTCCTCTTTCAGTCAAGCTCCACGGGGTCTCAGGGCTGGTGCCCTGTGTGGCTAAGGGGGGCGGGGGGCTTCCGCTTCAGTCCAGTGCCGGGGGGACGCTGACGTGGAGCCAAGGACCCACAGCTCCCCCGCACACCCCCTTCCCCTCTATACCTCAGACCTCCCCTCTGGCCAACCAACACCGAACTGAAATTTCCAGAGTCCCCCGAGCAAGTCGGAGGGGCTGCCACAAATTTGGAGGGTATTATCTACCAAAGGACCCCCACCTGTTGAACCATGGGGCGCCTGCCTGCCCACCCCCAGCCTGCAGCCAGGTTTCTTGTCCACCGGGATCTCTGTCTGAGGCCCAGAGAAGAAAGCCAGGTGGTCTCTCCCCACTGTTGTGCCTGATAACTCACCACAAGTAAGGGACGGTTCACCAGCGAGTCTGATTTGCTCTCTGGCCTTTTCACCCTGGGTTTGGGGTCAGCGTATTGACCCTGGTCTCCTCACTGGAGCCTCCTGGAAACATTTGAGACCAGAGTCACAGTGGCTCTTCTAGATCAGGGTGGGACTGGGGTGGAGTCCTTCCATCAGGGTGGGGGTGGGGTGGGGGTCTTAGGTCAGGGTGGGGCTGGAGGTAGAATCCTGGGCTCTACCCCCAACTCCCTGTGTGATTTTGGTCAGGTTTCTCCCCCCACCATCGTGGTCCTTGGTTCCTGAGACGAAGGAAAGTGTATGGAGGGTAAATTGTCTTCAGTTTTGATGCTATATAAAGCACATTTATAGGCATGACTTAAAGGTAACAGAATGAATGCTTATGTTAAAAACGCCTGGCTTTTTTTTTTAAAGATTTTATTTATTTATTTGAGAGAGAGAGTATGAGCAGGGGGCAGAAGGCAGAGGGAGAGGGAGAAGCAGGCTCTCCGCTGAGCAGGGAGCCCGATGCGGGGCTCGATCCCAAGACCCTGAGCTCATGACCTGAGCTGAAGGCAGACACTTAACGGACTGAGCCACTCAGGCCAAGAAGGCCTGGCTTAAGAAATAAAATGTTCTCATTCCCTTTGAATCCTCTACAGGCACCTCTCTATCCCGGCCACTCCCAAAGGCAGGGCTTCCTAGAATTCTAGTCCCTCCCTTTGCTTTGCCTTGCTTTAGGGGTGCCTGGGTGGCTCAGTTGGTTAAGGGCTTTGCCTTGCTTTATATGTATGTATACCCGTCAACAACGCTGTTAGTTTGGCAGGCTTTCAACCTGAGTGTAAATACTGGAGGTATTCTTTTCATTTGATGGGTCTGGCCATTGTAAAAACCAAACCAAACCAAAACAAAACAAAGCCTGATCACGGATGGGGTTAGGCACCTTTTTAAAAGTCCATGGGCCATGGGAGTCTCCCCTTCTGTGAAATAGGTCTCCATGGATTTGTCCTTTTTCTATCGGGTGGCTTGCCTCCTTCCTTAAGGATCTGTAGGCTTGGGGCGCCTGGGTGGCTCATTTGGTTAAGCGACTGCCTTCGGCTCAGGTCATGATCCTGGAGTCCCAGGATCGAGCCCCACATCGGGCTCCCTGCTCAGCAGGGCGTCTGCTTCTCCCTCTGACCCTCCCCCCTCTCGTGTTCTCTCTCATTCTCTCTCTCAAATAAATAAATAAAATCTTAAAAAAAAATAAGGATCTGTAGGCTTATTTAAATATCCTAGACACTCTTCCTCTGTCGGTTGGAAGAATTACCAGGATCTCTCCTGGTTTGTGACTCATCATTTAACGTTGTTGATCGCGTCTGTGAACGGACAGAAGTTTTTAATATGAACACAGTCACGTTCATCATAATTTTCTTTTTTTTTTAAAGATTTTATTTATTTGAGAGAGAGATAATGAGAGACAGAGAGCATGAGAGGGAAGAGGGTCAGAGGGAGAGGCAGACTCCCCGCCGAGCAGGGAGCCCGATGCGGGACTCGATCCCAGGACTCCAGGATCATGACTTGAGCCGAAGGCAGACGCTTAACCAACTGAGCCACCCAGGCACCCCCATCTTAATTTTCTTCACTCTTTAAATCAGAGATGTTTGGTTGACTTTTTAGCAATGTGGCTCTTTGTTTAAAAGAAGCCACGATGTACTCCACTACAGAACGTTCCTTAAAGAAAATTAATTGCCATGGAGATTAATGTTACCTATATATATTTTAATGTTACATATTTTTTAAATAGTGAACAAAATAAACACATAATGTTCAGTGTTTAAATAATCAAATCTTGGGGCACCTGGCTGGCTCAGTCTGATGAGCGTGCGACTCTGGATCTCGGGGTCGTGAGTTCGAGCCCCATGTCGGGTGTAGAGATTACCTAAATAAACAAAACTTCAAGTAAATGAATGAATGGATGAATGATGAACGAATGAATCTTTGTTGCAACAACAACAATCCCAGACAGGTAAAGCCGAAAGAAATCAATGAGGACCACAAACTCTGCCCACGTTCACCCAGTGTTCTTTCTGGCAAAGCCAGTGGCTACCCAATCCAGGCCAGGCTCTAGTCCCCCTCTCCTCTTGGGCCATTTTTATTGTTTTTTTTTTTAATAAAATTAAGTTAATTCACTTTACAAAATAATTTTTTTGTTTTGCAAAGTAATTTCAGAATATTGATAAATAACAAGCTCTGCTTACACATTTAAAATACACATTTTTTTAAAGTGATCTCTACACCCAATGTGGAGCTCAAACTCACGACCCCAAGATCCAGAGTAGTGCGTTCTACCAACTGAGCCAGCCAGGCTCCCCTAGATATATTTTTAATTCATGCTTTCAGGAAAAGTAACTTTGGAAAGCTTAGTACTTGCCTTTAAAGGACAAATGTATAAATAACACAAAATCACACTCTTTGGGAATGTTCTAGACCTTGGAATATTTTGACCTGATTTCCTTATTTTATGAAATAGGGGACTAAAGTTCATCTTCTGAGAATCTTGAGAGGCAAGAAATCAAGATGAAGAGTTGCCTGGGGGCGTCCGGCTGGCTCAGTCACGTCTCGATGTCTGGGTCGTGAGTTCAAGCCCCACAGTGGGTGTAGAGAGGACTAAAAAAATAAATAAACTTAAAAAAAAAAAAAGTTGCTTGGCAGCGAGGGGGAGGTTGGTAAAAGTGAAGCCCCTCCATTTGGATGGGCTCCTCAGACATGGGCCGCATGAATTGACCCCAGCTTTGCTTGAGGGAAGCAACCAGCTCAGCCTAGACCATCCTTCCACCTGGGTCACACTCCAGCTGTCAAAATGTCGGTACGGCCGTTTGTCTTCCCGCGGGATGGCTCAGCCTCCCTGTGCTGCTTGCCAGGGGGTGGGGGCCGAGGGGGTGGAGGGGGCACCTGCCCACTGGGTCCCCCCGGCTTTTCAGCCTTGAAGCCCCAGCCCAGGGAACCAGGGCTGGGAAAGAATCCGTGAACCCTATTTCCCCAGGAAGCCCCCTCCCGTGGTTCTCCAGAGTACTCCTGCCTACAGTCCAACCAGATGGAGGCCCCAGACATTTGGGGACCCTCACCCCTGCTCCCCCACTTTGGCCTCAGGTAGGGGATGACAACCCAAACCCAAGTCCTGGGGTGTTTCCTGGAAAAGCAGACACATAAGGGGGTCCAGGGGGGTCTTTCTAAAGATGAAGGCCATAGGGTGGGGTTGTGCAGCCTCTGGGGATCAGCCTCCCTGGTGTAGAATCCTGGTGCTGCCATTTACTGCTATTCACAGCTCTGGGCCTCAGTTTCCCTCTCTGGGGGAGCAAAATGAGATAGCATTTTCTCCAGAGTTCACAGGGCGCCTGGCATGCTGTGAGTACTCTGCAGGAGCAGCAACTATGCTCTCTCTGAGTAGCGGATCACCAGGGATTTACACCAGGGGCCGGGAACCAAGTGGCAGGGCTCCCTGAGACAGAACATTCCAGTGCATGGCAAGCGCTTACCAGACCCGGCCAGGCAGGCTGTCCCGACGCCCCCAGGTTGATTCACCCACCCCCGGGGGCCTGATGTCAGCCCCCACCCCGAGCATTGGTGCCCATTAGCACCGTGGCTGGGTCCTCAGCTCCTCCCTCCCTGGCTTCTCTCTCTCCTGTGCCCTGAGCTCCGGTCCGAGTGTCACCTCCACCCCTCACCCCCGCCCCAGACCTCCAGCCTCTGGGGGGGCAGATGGGCCAGGGCTGTGTGGAGTCTTGAGCTCTCCACCTGCCTCCTGTGAGCCCAGGCGGGAGCCAACTGCCAGGCACCCCCCGGCAGGATTGATTCTAGTAGATTCCCAGATGGTCCATTGAAGCCGGGAATGCTCGACTTCCTGTTTGGTTTTAGGTCAGCTGTTACTAAACCAGAACTTTCTTTCCCATAAAAAGTATTTCTTCAGGTTACTGACACTGTTACGCCACCGTGGAAACCAGGGAAATGTGGGACTTTTTTTTTAATTAGGATCAAAATGAAAACGAAGGCCTGCCCAAGGAAGGGGTAGAGGCTTAGAGCCCTGGTCTGGCCTGGTGACCTGGGTTCGAATCCCTTTCCCCCAAGGCACTTGCTGGCTGCCTGGCTCCGGGCAAATCGTTCATGGCCTCGATGCGCTGCTGCTCTTGTGTATTAAACATAGGAATAAGGATTTCCTCACTAATGACTTGTAGAGATCAAATGAAATGTCACAGGAAATGGCTTCTAGCCCACACTTGGCAGAGAAAAAACATTCAATGTCCAAAGAAACAGAATTTCTCCCTGACCCAGGGCTACTCAGCTAATCACCAGTGAGGACCTGTCAGGGTTCCCCGCCACCTGGTCCAACATTCTCTCCAATGGAGGTTGTACAGCGGGGTCAGAAGAGAGCATAAGACCAAGTGAGAGGCAGAGTCATGAGAAAAACGGTTGGCGAAGAAATGGTTTGAAGAGAAGGCATCAGAAGGACTAAGGAAAAAAAAAAATCTCGGAATGTCCAAGAAACAACGCCAGGCATCAACCTGAATCCTTCTCTAATTATAATTAAGAAAGAAATCTAGGGGCGCCTGGGTGGCTCAGTCATTAAGCGTCCACCTTCGGCTCGGGTCATGGTCCCAGGGGCCTGGGATCGAGCCCCGCATCGGGCTCCCTGCTCGGCAGGAAGCCTGCTTCTCCCTCTCCCACTCCCCCTGCTTGTGTTCCCTCTCTCACCGTCTCTCTCTGTCAAATAAATAAATAAAATCTTTAAAAATAATAATAATAATTAAGAAAGAAATTTGTGTCGTTTTCCAGGAATTTCCACACCTTGGGAAGGAGTGCGATTGGACAGAGGTGAAATATTCAACCAACCCACCTATAAGGTCCCCATTACTCATGATGGAAATTTCTACGAGTTCTCAAAAAAAATGTGTAATGCATTTTGCTAAATGAAAGAAGTCAGTCTGAAAAGGCCACATACTGTTTGATTCTAACCCTAGGACATTCTGGAAAAGGCAAAACCGTGGAGAACATACAAAGATTAGTGGTTGCTTGGGGCTGTGTAGGGAGGAGGAGGTAGGAGGGACGCATAGGTGGAGCGCAGGTGA